TGATTGGCATCCATGGGTTTTTTTACAAAATTGAGAGCAAGTTCTGTAGACATGACCCAAAACATATGGAGCTAAAGCTACATTTTTATGCAAAACAAAAACTTTAGTGAGTAGAGCAAACTCAGACATAATCCTCTAAGAAGAGGTACAGAAGAGTAATTTACAAAGCCAATACAATAAAAAAGAAAAGAGTTTCCCATTAGTTATAAGACCTTCCCTTTTGTTCTCAGATTTGACAAAGTCACTATAGGATGAGTTCAGAGGAGGAATAGAAAAAGAGACATTAAGGTCAGGATAGTCTGGACCAAAGGGAGTGCCAGTAGGGGATAAACCTAAATGGTGGTAGATATCAAGGACAGTAGGGGCCATCATACCACATCTAAATAGGAAGAAATTAAAAGCAGAGTTCCAAAAACAAAGAGCAACAGGTATTAAAAATGGATCCTCCGAAATAGTGAACCTGGATAGTTGAAGGGCATCGAAGAGGCAAAGTCCTTGGAGATCCAATGACCTAGTGGGAATAACTCAATCGTACAATTCTTCCCATTCTGGCCTTACTGTGGGCTAGCAGCGATGGGGTCGGTTCATCCTCTAGCTTCCCCAATCCAAACCACCTTTATAGATGAGGTAGTGATTCTCCAATCGCGGGTATTAAGTAAGAAGCTGAGTAGGGGCCTTCCTAAAAATGGGCCCAAGCACATATTCCTATTGCTCGTGATGACGGAGAATGAAAATGCGCCCATCGATTGCATTTTGTTTGCCAACTTTGTATTTCTCACACTCTTCAGCAATGACCCTCTTCAAAGCTACGGATGGGTCATGCGCTCTACAACTGGTAATTTCAAGGAGGAAGAAGCCATTAGCAAAAGTTTCGGAGGACGAAGCTGAGAAAAAGAGTAAAGAGAAAGAGAGAGTAATAAAAATGAAGGGTTTGTGTTTTGGGCGAGCAAGCAAGTTAAAAGCGCGAAGGGAAAGGGTTTTTTCAACCTTTATGTCCGAAAGATGCCCAATCAGTCTAAATGGGTAAAAAGACCCGAGATAATTGTTTGACTGATTTTGGAACCCATATGAGTTTAAACCTTTGTCTTAAAATTCATAAGAGTCCTGAAAGTACAACATGAAAAGTTTCTTTCAAGGGTGATTGTTTGGGAGTGAAACGTATCTCAAACACTCAGATTGGCTTCGAAAATAAATATTTTGCTTCGAAGCTAGGATTTGGCTCCAAAGCCAGATGTCAAACATCCAACTAGGGCTTTGAGAGCAGGTAGTCGACTTCGAAATACATTTTGTGCCTAAGAATGCAAGAATGTTTAGGTTTGGTCTATTTCGAAGGGATTGGGGACTTGCTCTTAGGTTTTTTGTAAAAGACAAAATCCTTCGAAGTGAACTTTGAAGTATTCTGTAGCTGGAATTTGATTCTTATTTTATGTTTTAGACTTCAAAGTTGCAAAGCCAGTACCAAGTCAAGTAAAGGATCAAAATCCAAAAAGACTTGCCTGAATATGAAAAATTCCTTTTGGGATTTTCTTTCAAAATAAACCCTTTTTTGGAAAGTAGCATTGTTACTTTTAAAAATACTTCGAAACACTTAAAAGTAACTTTGATACAGAGGATTAGTCAATTCAAAGCTGTTAAATTATGTTGACCATGCGATTGGAATGAGAAGACCTGAGGCAAAGATTGTCAATTGTATTCCATAGTTTGGAGATATTCAAATCAAGCTTCAAGTATTCTATATTTTGGAGATGTTCAAATCAGGCTGCGAAGCAAAAATTGGTTAATTCGAAGCTCTAACTTTATTTGAATTGTGTGAATAAAATGGTCACAAGCATGCAATTGAAACATAAAACTAGATCATGCCAAATAGGGAAATTGGGAAAGAAAACCCTAATTTTATTAATATGTAAGTAATTACATTAGAAAAGCCTACTTGGCTACGAATTTGATTTCATAATAATAAGAATAGAAAAAGTAACAAGTTCATTAAATTTAACCCAGTAGTGTTCAATGAACTTATGTTCTTTCTTTATTCTATCTTCTATCTTATCAAAGCTAGGTTGTTACAGTCGGTATGCTCTTATTTGGTAGAAAAGTTGTTCAGCTTTCACCTCGAACTCTATCTCTTTCAAACCTTGCTCCATTTCGTCCATATTTAAATCATTCCAGTATGTTGAATCCTTATTCTTAAAGTCATCATATTCTTCAATAAGGTTCTCTGCTTCGTACTGAGTCTGAATTCGATTGGCTGTGATTTTGTCCAAAGAGTCACTGGTAGCCAAAGAAATTTTGTACCAATAAAGAAGGAGTGAGAGTTGATCCAAGAAAGCTTGAAGCTCTGTCTGGGCAATGGGGTTGAGAACATGACCCCGAGTCATAACATTACAGGCCCATTGGAAGTTCTTGAGAGGAATCTCATCTCCAAGAACATTGAAAAGCAAGTAAGAGAAGGCAGCAAGCAGAAGCTGAGCTTTGTATTGCTCAAATGCAGTTGGAAGAGTTGGAGGTTGGTAGGAAGGTAAAAACAGATTCTCGAAAAGAGTAAGTTTCAATTCTTCCATCCAATGAGGATTCTGAGGGAGAGAAGGTGCAGAGGGATCCATCCCGAAGGAAAGGGGAAATGGGAGGTACGCATTTAAGACAGTTAGAAGAGCAAAGTTTTGTCTTCTTAGCCAAGAATGACGGATTATATCCATGTGCTTCGTCTGGATGAGGGGTTGCTCGCACTATCTTCGCCACGCCACAAGCAAGTTGTCCTCCAGATTGTGTTAGTAATCAATGGGTATGTAGGGGAAACCACTGAGCTCTGAGTAAAAGGAGGAATAGAAAAGGAATCATCGAATTTGACAAATCGATGATAAATCCGCTCCCTTAATTGGGGTTCATCAAGTTTTGACCAACTTTCCTAGCCAGTGGACTGTAAGGAAAAAGAAACGACTTTGTCCCATGCGGAGAGTGGTGGGACAGAAGAGGAGCTTCCAAGATCCATTTCTACAAATGCTTGGTCCAAAGGTTTGTAGTTAGCAGATTCTTGGTCTAAAGGTTGGTAATTTGCAAAAGCTTCCATGACCTGTATAAGTGGAGGCGGATAGGTGTAACCAACAAATGCATTAAGGTTCTTTCGAGGCCTGCAATCATCTTCCAAAGACTCCTCGTATGCTCGATCAATGTAAGAGAATGTGTGATTGGCCATTGGAGATGTACTAGTCTTTTCGTCTACTCAAAGAATAGAAGTGCAAAGCACAAGGATTTAATGAGGTTCACTGCTTCATTATTCAAAAAACGATTATACTCCCAAAATATACAGAGTCCATGCACATCCTAGAGCGTGAGTAGATTGCATTAGTTCACTAATATCACCAAGTATTGGGTATATTAGTGCGAGGGGTAATGTTGGCTGTGTAATTTGTAAAAGCCAATCACAATTTAACACATGGTATGAAGAGGGCAATTTGGAGAGTTAATACAAGTTGTCAATCAAAGTCAGATATGTGGTAGTTCATATTGGTAATAATGGATCTACGTAGTATTGGAACAATAGAGATACAAGATGATGTGGCCTAACAGTTACTCATAAAGTTTAAATTCAAAATCAAGAGGGAAGCCTAACTGCAAGTGTGACTTAGTGGGACTGACTGTGAGAGAGCATGTTCATCAATCATGGGAGGACATTTCAACAGTTGGAAGCCCACTTCGACGATTACCACTAAGAAGTATAAGTAGCAATGAATGCCCCCAGAATAAAAGACCCAGACTCAGACAAAGACAAAAAAAACTAGTTTATTTACTTCTTATTTCCTTCTAGTTTTTACACTTTTCAGTTCTTTACATATCTAGCACTTCAATTCCTGTACTGCATTTCATTTCTTAGGAATAGTTTCAAATAGTTTGTTGTTGTAAACAGAGGCTAGGTCAGATTATTGTAAGTTTTCATTTACTTAATGAAATTCAGATTCTGAAAATTGTTCTTCACTTATTATTGTTTACTAATTTCTCCTAAACAAGCTACCAGTAAAAGTTATCTTCATTGAGGCTAAAAGAACTATAACACAATCGTCTGATAATTTGTTGGCAATTAATATTCTGTAAGGACTAATTGATCCTTATTGGTACGCTTAAATTTACATTATTAACCTTCGAAAGTCAAAAAGCTAACAAAGATATATATATATATATATATATATTTAAATATATTATTATGAGAAGCATTCTCTTTCTATTCCAATTTCATAAGAAAAGTGAAGTGTTTGAAATGTTTGTATCTTTTTTTTTGCTCATTACTCCTCTGTGCACTTATTTTTCCCTAATTAAAACTAATCTAATGTCTCGTTTGGCAAGTGAGTTTTTTAGGTAAAAAGTCAAAAAATTACTGAAAAAATCAAAAAGCCAATAACTTATACTAAAAAGTCAAAGATTCTCTTTTTTATTTATTTTTTTGCACATCTTTTCGTAAAAAATTAAAAAATATCTCAAATATACTATTTTTTTTACATCATATTTTAACCAAAACGTCAAAAAATTACTAAAAAAACTTCCAAACGGGGCCTAAATATGATTTTAACTAATTTTATCCTTCTAAATCTTTCATTTCCCCCTCCTAAACCATAAATTCAAATGGAGTAAGTAAATACCAAAGTATAAGATGATTCTTTATAACCTTTTTTTAAAATACACATATATATATATATATTTGTATATAAATTTTTTTATTTTATTATAATTATAATTTCAATATGGTTTTTTTTTTTTTTTGGAATGGTGGCTTTCCAAATCCACACACTTTTTTGACCAGTGGGATGTCCCCATGGGACGATCTACTTTACTCATTTTATATCACACACTAGTACTCGTACTAGTACTAAATACTGATAATAAGCAACAACCACCAAAAACCTAAATAATAGAATATTAGTATAATCATTCATTTGGTCATACTCATACACATGGCTGGCCTGGTCCATCCGATTCCTCTCTCCTAATTCTCGATCTGAAAAACGATCCTTGGTTGCCTCTGTTCTGCTTTGTTGTGGGTTGAGTTGTTGATTCATTCATTCATGGACTCATCAGGAGGTGATGATGATGATCAGCAGCAGCAATCGCCGCAGCTGCTGTCGTCGGGAGGAGCAGAGGAGAAAATTATGATGATGAATGAGGGAAGTCCAACTTCAACTCCTATTAGTGCTCCTCCTCCTCCTCCCAAAGCTGAAACTCCCAATTTTATTGGGAAGCATCGCATGGCTGCCGCACTAGCCCACCTTCAACACCAAATCCAAATCATTCAGGTCTCTCTCTCTCTCTCTCTCTCTCTCGTGCATATATATATATAGGATTGATTAGTAAGTAAGAATTGATGCAGGAAGAGCTGGAGGAGCTTGAAACATGTGGTGAATCATCTCTTGTTTGCAAAGAGTAGGTCTTGTTTACTTTTCTTTCCTTCTTTCTTTCTTTCTTTCTGTTGTACTTAACCCTCTCTCTCTCTCTCTCTCTCTCTCTCCGCCTAGACTCGTATCAACAGTGGAATCCCTCCCCGATGCTCTGCTTTCTGTGTAAGATATATTTCTCTCATATATTTTACGCTTTTTCGCTTTGTGAATTCAAATAACAAATGCTTTTTGATGATTGTTGGGTTTATTGAAACCAGTTTTTGGAATACAATTGTCATATCCAATTTTAAATTAGATTGGTAAGAACATATATATACATATATTTAACCTTAGTTATTTCATTTCTATTTAAAATTATTCCAGCACATTATTAAACATTATTTGGTTAGAATGAACGTGGAATAAAATTATACAAACTAATAAAAGTTGACAAGCTTTTCTAAACATCATTTTGATGTTTTAGTTTGGAAAGAAAATAATGTTAGTTAAACAATAACAAAAAAATCCCAAGCAAATATAATTTCCCCCAAAATTTTGACCACCATTGTATATTATTTGTGACAGAAAAGCCTATGTTGCCATGGCAACATCACCAACCAAATATTTTTCAGGCACAGTATAAAACAAATGTTTAAAATATTTGACAATTGTATATATTATTTTAATCAAAGTCAAAACTGCCAAGCCAATTAAAAAAAAAAAAAAAAAAAAAAAAAAAAAAAAAAAAAAGGTCAATACTGGCAAGGCATCAGCACCACCCTATTTTACATGTGTGACTGGTCATGAAAAAAAAAATTTAAAGTCAAAAAGTTTTTAAAAAAAAAAAAAAGAAAAAGAAAAAGAAAAAAAGTGCTGGGTATTAACTCAAGTGATGGTTGATTTGCAGGACCAAAGGTCCGGCAGTTGTTGGTTGGGACAGGTGGTTCCATGGCGCCCATGGCTCTCGTGGTCGCAAACGATGGATCTAAGCCCAAGCCCCCCCTTTTAATTCTATTCAATTCAAACCGTGAGGGGGAGGAACTGACTGAAACAAGCTACATGTATGTGAGAGTGGTTGTTGAGAACAATGTGTACCGGAGTGCTTAGTTGCCGATAACACTTTCGTAAAAATAACTAACGAATATGTGCCTCAACATGTTATTTGGGATTGTGTTTGTTTGTTTTTTTTGTAGGGTATTATTGAAAAAATAATACTATATGCATCAATTAAGATATCAATTAGTGTACTAATCGATAATATGACATAATTTAATAAGTCTTTGGTATTTATAATTTGTATAATGAGTGAGATCAATAATAATGTCGTAACATATGTTGGTACATTAATTGGTACATATAACACTGCAGTTATTGAAACTAGAACTCACAATAAATATATACTAACTACACCTACTCACATCATGTCTTGCTTACTGATAACCCTGACCTACCTATCAATGAAATATAAAATTTTGGGATTTTTTTTCTTAATGCCCCTCTTTAGAAAAAGTTATTTTCTTCATACAACAACAGGACCATTCATTTTTGTACACTAACCCCTCATCTTAGTTCTCATATCAACACTATCATCCTTATTCCTCGTACAAGGTTTCGAAAGTAATTGTTAGAGTTTCTTTTGAGTTTAATTAGCTTAGAGTTATTTGAAAGTGTGAGGTACTATTACGGTTGAAATGTATACAATGTTCCAACTCTAATTCACAGAATAAATTAATGTTGTTCAACTGCATTTGGCCGAACATAACTAGTTTGCTTAATTATTTGGACATTCAACAGAATTCGACCAAACTAAGTTTGTTCAGCTGCAATCTGTCGAACAAATCAAGTTTGTTAAGCCATGGTTTGCCGGACAAAACTTGAACCTAAAAATGGAAAAGGCTTAAAATCACAATTTTCCATCCAATGACAAACAACTATTTGACTAGAGTATTCTCTGATCACCCTCCTAAAGCAAACTGCTACACAATTATAACTTTAAAAGAGGACTAAAATTTAATTATATTCAATTTGTGTGCACACGTGCATTTTCAGGAGAGACTTGCAAGAGGTATCCAAACTCAATGGGGGTCTCAACAATTCAATGATTTAGGAATAAATAAGAATTCACACACCTCGCGTGAATTATTGAAGCCAGAGATGGAGATGAATGGATTGCAGATAGAGAGGGTTGAGGCTTGGCTTCCTCAATCTCATACTGGTACTGGCAGGAACTCCCCAGTTTCCTACCAAGCCAGCATGAGGGTTTTCAAATGCAAGGATCCTGCAGCACATAGTTTTAATTCACAAACTGCAACCAATTGGCCATATATGCCAAGTCACATCATCAGTTAGTCTTACATGGAAGGTGCAGAAGAGAAAATATCATCTGAAGCACAGAGCATCCACTTGGGATCATAACAAAATGTTTCAAGAACAACCGACTGGAAAATGCATTTGATCAAGCTACAATTTTGAATTGTAAAACAAGTAAATGATATTAATACTTTTTCATGCTTGAAAAAGAAGAATTTCACAAACCTAAAGAACAGTTATATGCATAACAAGCATTACTAGTACATTCGATGATCACTATGTAATCGGCAAGACATGTACATTAAGTGACCGGCTAAGCAATCGACTATTTTGATATAACTTTACCAATACCCAAAACTGTCTCACTGACCGGAACCCAAAACTAATGTGTTTGAAGCCGAGAGCTCGCCAAAAAGGAAAAGAAAAAAAATACATAGTTTTCCTTTCCAAGATGTGGGCGATGTTACAAAATGACGCAATGCACCAACACTTCATACAAATGACGCCTGCATTCACAAAATATACCAGATTGCTGGAAGGGAGCAACCCACAAAACCCAATGTTAGCCTTACTGGTTCTGCTCATTTATGAGGAAGCAAAAATAACCAAAAAGCAAATAAGGGTAACAGGAAAATGTAAATACAAAAGCAACACACTTTCCCAGTTCATGAAAAATCATTTCTCAATTCCACAATGTATATGGAACATACAGATCACTTTAATGCAGTCAAATCTCCAGGCAGCAAGAACTCAACTTTAAGAATTGATTTATTAAGAACCACAGTTGCTCAGTTTTCCATTTTTTAGCTTTTCATTATTCCTGCTCGAGCTACTCGGCTAACTCTAGAGTACAAGTTAGCTTGAATAGATTACAAAAGTAACAAACTAGGTCACTAAGAGATGATATTAATGACCACATTAAAAGCAATATATATCTAATAACCAATCAAATAAATTGACATGACTTTTTCACTAGGAAGCACGGATACGGATACGGGATACGGATACGATATGATACGGATACGGCGATACGACAAAATTTGAAAAATTAGGATACGGGTACGGCGGGGATACGTTCATAAAAAATTTTTTTAACAATTTTTTGTAATGCAATATGCATAAAAATAAAACCTAAAACAAAAGATAACTTGATAAAGAAGAAAAATTCCTATAAAACTAAGAGTCTTCAAGGTCAATAGCTTCAACTTGTTCCCCTTCATCAGTGAATATCACTGACCTTAGCTAAAGCCAAAAAACCATTCTTAAATAAAAATTTCAGCAAATATACTTTTTTAAGTCATCAATGATAGCCTAGGAAGCACGGATACAGATATGGTGATATGGGGATGTGGATATGGCGATATGTCAAAATTTGAAAAAGTATGATACAAGTACAGCGGGGATACATTCGTAAAAAAAAGAAAATTATAATTTTAATAATGTAATATGCATGAAAATAAAACTTATAAATTAATAAATAAAAAGAGGGATTCCTATTAACCTAAAAGTGCTCAAACATTCATAAAACATCCAAAACTAAAAGCAAAAACAAAAGCAAATGCAAATTAAACATCATCATTACATGCCAACACCAAAAAAAGAATGAGAGCAGAGAGAAGAAACGTGAGAGAGTGAGAAAGCGAGAGAGAAGTGAGAGAGACAACAAGGATACATCAATTTGACAAATTCTATTGCTTTAACTCTCACTATATTCCTCTTATCAAAGAACTAAATAAAATATTATAAGTAATATGTAACTTCGAGTATCCGATACTTCAAAATTAAGTATCCGATACTTCAAAATTAATAAAAAAATTAATTAAGAAGTATCCGATACTTTTAAGAAGTATCCGATACGTATTCGCGAGTATCCGAGGAGTATCGGTATCTGATAAGTATCCGATGCGGATACGTCACCCTTTTTGAAGTATCCGTGCTTTATAGCTTTTTCAGGCCTTAATTGAAAGACCAGATGGACACGTTACTTTTTTGGTTTAAGTATAGGCTAATGTGCTGAGAGAGGAATTACTCCGGATTTGGTTTCAAAACTTGAAAAGCTCACTCTTGACCCAAAGGAGAAGCTTCATAATCTTCTGGGACTTCAATATTTTCAAATAGAGCCACTCGTTTGACATTCTTCTTTTCTTTGTCACAATCACGAGCATAATGACCCTCTTCACCACAAAGATAACATTTGCAGCTCAATTCTTACATGGGAAGGATGTGGTTTCCCTTTGTATGTGGTGGCCTTGCGAAGTCCATACTTCCTTTTCTCAGTCTCCTTGTAGTATCCTGGAATGGGAATCTCTTTACAGAAATCAAGATTCCGAAGGCTCTTCTGGAAAGCAGCATTTTTGCATTCAGCTTCTAGATATTTGTAGGAAAATAAAATTCTAGGGCCAACGCCAATGATATTTCCAGGATATCGTTCACTGAACGCCTTCTTTATTCTTTCTCCAAGATCTCCTGGCATTTTTGTCCATAACTTTTCTGATAATTCTTCGCGAACAAATAGCCTCCCTGTTCGTGTGGCAAGGTGTAAGTAATCATTCAGAAATTTTACCTTTACCTCATCTCTGTAGTCTGGATCAATTACTCCTGCACCAACATCAATTCCATGGTGTAGTGCTAATCCAGATCTTGGGGCTATCCGACCATATGTTCCTGGTAGTATTTCCAGAGCGATTCCAGTGGAAATTAATAGTCTTTCCTGAGGTGGTATAACATATTTGGCTATGGCAGATAGATCATAACCGACTGATCCAGTTGTTGCCCTGAAAGGAATACGAGCATGTGGCACAAGCTTAATGACTTGAACAGCTTCAAATTCCTTATATTCTTCTTCAGGATAGCAATGTTTGCAAATTGCACGCTTCTTCTTCTTTTGCTTTTTCTTCTGCTTTTGTCGATCTTGAGAAGATTCAGAAGAAGAATCATCTTGTATTTCGGTGTTGCCAAAATCTTCTGTCATCATCTCATAAGCGGCTGCAAACTCAATCGCTTCCATGGTATCTTGCTTAATTTTTGTTGCATCTTCAAATTTGCGGAAAGTTGTGGCAATTTTTCTGAATTGTGAGGTACCTGAACAATTCAGAAAAATTGCTTTTGTTAAATCTACTTCCATGGATGCAAAAGTAGATTGGTCTCCTTGCCATCGTGTGTCTCGTAGAACAACTAATGCCATAGTTCCTTGTTCTATTCGATGGAGGACCTGGAGCCGTATTTGAACGACACCAAGATGGATATATTGCATGCGACTTCGCTGGAGCTGGTCAAAGCTTTCTTCTTGAATAAACGCCCTTTCTATCTGTGTATTACCAACACAGAGTATCGTTTCTTCTGATCTATGAATATAGACACGATGATGAGCATCATCTCGTCTGGATCGATAAAGGACTTCTGCAGGGGCAATACTTGCTCGTTCCGCCATTGATAGCTGGAGCTGTGTTTCTGGTGCTATTTGTTGTTCCAAGGTGTTTGAGGTTGGCTGTCTGCCTCGAAACCTTTGGAATAGTTTCTTGGCCTTTCTTTCTCTGACGAATCTTGCCCTTTGGCCTTGTCTGTATTCTCGTATTTGATCTTCAACGAGAGGTGCTCCTGGGGTTGCTGCTGTTTGTTGGGGTCGATCTGTCACTCTGGGAAGAGTAACCGTCCTGGATGAGCCACTTCTGGACATCATTTCAACTTCGCCTTTTCAATTTCTTCTTGTAAGAGTTTGTAAGGATTCCGATGAACCTTAAGAACTCCTTTGGGTTCCTTTGGCTTCTCCTTTGGGACACAGGACTACAGCTTTTATAGTCCAGTCAGGTACATATATTGATCCTATAACCAAAGAGGAAAGACGAGGAAAAGAAAGGATGGTTTGGGATTGATGAGTGAGTTCTGCTACAAGACTTCGTACATCAATACCAAGACCAGTAATGTAATCAGTGAAAACAAGCCACCTAGACCTAGACGGCTTATGATTAGCAGTTTTGTTAAAGAAGCATGAGAATTCTCATAGCTAAGTCAATCGGTCACCTTTCCTTTTCTCATCTAAAATTCCACGCTTATTCCGCTGACAATGTCTAGCAAGTGTAAGATAACGCAAGAGGGAAATCAATGATGTGCAACCTTCATAATCTTCCCCCCCCCCCAAAAAAAAAAAAAACAAAAACAAAAAGGCTCATCGTAAGAAATTTACAATTTTTGTTGTTAAAATTTGTGGTAAAAGTTAGGTGTGCACTCTAAAGTGGAAGTTGTACTTCTTGTGTTGAGCAAAAAGTTATATTTTTTGTGGTGAGAAAAGCAATGTCATTTTATAGTTTGTTGCAAAATTTTGTGGTGGTTATGAAGGGCATACCATATACACCCTTTTAGCGGTGCACATAGTAGCATCTCCCCAATGCAAGTTCTCATATTTACATACTTCTCATTATTTGACTAAATTTGCTGGGTCAGTATACCATCAGCATGAATAATTCAAGCAAGCATTTTTTGTACGAAATAAAAGTATACCTAATTATGCAGAACAGATTTTTTTTGTTTCAAGTGTGTATCTGTAGCCATTTTCGTTGTCTAGCTATCATACCACAGTATGGTTTGTGTCCAATACAAACCAAACCAAAAAACCCCTACCTAGCACCTAAATACTCGCAAGGAATTTCCTCTGCAAACAGCCGTATAAAGTTGTTTGCCTCACCCAACCAGAAAATGAAAGCCACTAACTCCAGTGTATAAGAAACAACTCCACCCATTGTGCTAACTATACCACAGGTCTCTCTGAAAGTGTATGTTTATGATCACACTTTGCATGGCTCCAAACGTTGTGCATTATCCACCCAAAAGAAAGTATAACATGTGATATCAACACTACTTCAGTTTCACAGGTAGGATTGGAATCAGAATTCCTTAGACAAAAATCATTGTGCTTTCAAATAGCCACCAAATAATTCAAGTCCTGGTGTTCATGACAAAATCCTTTCTTCCAAGCATTATCAGTTATGACACAGGTTTCTTAAAAAGTTTTAGCCATTTTCGACATAATTATGAGACAATATGAAAAAGCACCAGCATGCAGCCTTCATCATTGTAATTGGGGCACTAAATTCAGGCACCAACTAGGATTCCAGGTCTCTCTGAATGTGTGTTATATTTACATAAACATGCCCATCATAGACAACAAACAATTAATAAATCTGAAGACAACAGAAATGGAAAGAATTTGGAAAATTTAATAACATCTCACCTCCAAAAAATACGTTGAAGCTTCAGTCCCGTCCCTTCCCAGTAGAAATATCATAAAAGCATTGATCATTAAGATGTCATGCATCCTAAATAACCTGAGATGAAATATTTGAAGTCAAAAGTGTTCCACGAAACCCTTCTTCTGCCTGTTGCACCTCCATCTTTTGATCAGAAAGTTCATCTGTGGAAATTTAACATTAGGCAGCTTACAAATTATCAATAGGCATAATGGCACAAATGGTTGGTTCAAACAAAAGAAAGTAGGAAATATATTTCTAAAATACAATCTTGCATTATATGCTTGAAATTAGCAGACAAACTTTCTCAGTCCCCGCAAAGACAATATTTCAAAGTGAAACCACAGAGCTGGTGTTTGTTTGTGCCTATAGGGGGATGAATAGGCCAAACTTAAAAATAACAAATTTTAAATTACCAATAATTATTTTAGTTCAACTTCAAAATTCAATAGTGATTGTGAACAAGCAATCCACGAAAATAAATAAAGCAGAGATGCACAAAAAAATTTCGTGGAAACCTTGAGGAGAATACTCCCCAAGCACAAAAACCACGGCCCCAACAACCTGGAATTTTCTGCTTGATCTGCACTTTGTGGCTCTAATCCTCTCAACCTCTTGTGATTCAACAACACTCCACAATGAACCTCGCCCCAATCTCCACACACTAATGGTTTCGTTACCGATGAATAAAGGTGGATGAGATAGAATAGAATATGCTCGTGAGGTTTTTATTGAGAGAGACACAGAGAGAGAGAGAGACTTTAACTATATGATCTAAGAAATTCTTATTTCTAGATTAAGGAAAGCATGGACTTCAATTAAAAAATCATTCAATAAGGCACGGAGGCTATCAAGACTCGAGAACACTTGAGAACCCGAGGCTGCTCAAACTCATGCCTCTATAAACGTAACACACTTGAGTACTCAGGGCTTCTTGAAATCATTCAATTAAAATTTGTTTTCATTATACATTTTAAGCTAAAAAGTTGTAAAAAAAAAAAAAAAAACTGTCGATTTAAATTGCTTAGGAATATGACAGTTCCTTCTCCTCCTCATTGCATTTGAGTAGCCTTCATATTCCTTTTTACAGCCTTCATCCCATTTTATGTGTTGTTTGATCATGCATACAGTTTAAGAAAAGGGAGCCGCCAATAGCCCCCACCTTCTTTATTTTTCTTTTATTACCAATTTACTTTTCTTTTTTCTTTTTTTTGATAAAACTCTTTTATTACCAATTTACCCTAACATAAAATACCAATTTTATCGTCATCCCTATCCTCCCAAACCCAAACCCAAATCCAAATCCAAACTCTACCCAACCCACCACCTGCAGCCACCCTCCCCAGCCTCTTTCCCACTGGTGACCACCCGCCCCCCCCTCATTTTCCCCGAAAGCCAACCTACAACAAAGAACATGAAAGAAATAACAACAAACAAAATATAAGTGGAGGGTATTTTTGGGATTATGTGGGGGTCCAAAGAAATAGAGGTGGGGAGCAATTTGGATGGTGGGGGTCCAAGAAGTGGAGGTCCTAAAAAATTAAGTGGAATACCCTTCGTCATATTCTATGAAGCACGGATACTTCAAATAGGAAGACGTATCCGTATCGTATCCGTATTGGATACCGATACTCCTTGGATATTTATGGATACATAAGTATCTGATACTTCTTAATTAATTTTTCATTAATTTTAAAGTATCGGATACTTAGTTTTGAAGTATCGGATGCTCCAAGTCACATATTATCGGATACTTCTTAATTAATTTTGAAGTATCAAATACTTCAAGTCACATATTACTCCTTTTTCAAAATTAGAATTGTATCATTTCTTACATAACATCATAATATAATATAATTGCAAGAATAAATAGAATATTTTTACAATATTTTGCTTAGTTTTTTTTATGAAAATAACATAGTAAGCTAAAGTAATAGAATTCATCAAATTGACATATATTCATTGTATCATGCATGTCCCCTATAACTACATAAAAGTAAGGATTAATAAGATAATATAATAATAGTAAAATTAAATATCAATAAATAAATAAACAAATAAACTTGCATAGAATATTTTTGACCAGTGCAAAAGGAAAAAACATAGGGTCAAGTTGTGGATTGTTTTGATATTATAATATCAACATATTAGACTTGATATTGAAATAAAATATTAGCAAGACCTATTGAAAATTTAAAAACTAAACTAGCTACTGCTTAAAATTAATACTTAATTCTTAAAGATTAGTATTTTGCATCATAAAGTTACTGTGGTTTCTCAACATTTTTGAGCTTATGTGTAACTCACTACTAACACTTTATTTATTTTTTATTTTTTTATTTTTTATAAACGTATCCTAACCATACCCGTATCTTACTTTTTTAGGTTTTGCTGTATCGCCGTATCCGTATCCGTATCGTATTGTATCTATATCTCGTATCCGTATCCGTGCTTTCTAGGTCATATTTGATTATTTTTTCGGAATTGTGATTGTAATTAAATTTTCAACATACATATCAAAAGGGGTAATATGGAAAGATAATGATTAAACTTTGCAAAATTCAAAGCTAAGACACACAAAATGGGACTTAAAAAAAAAAGGAAGCAAGACACAAAATAGGGGGGAGGGAGTAGTAACGAAAGATATCTTCCAAAATGGTTCCTTTTGGTTATACACTAATTACCTGCAATATCACGATTCTCATGGATCTCTGAATCTGTCACCCACAGAGTATCTCCAGCAAATATATTCATGTCAGCAAGAGTAGCAGATTCCCCATCAATTATCTTGAAACCTTTGTGAAGTATTTGGTTTTCCTTCACAACCTGCAGATAACAACAAAATAAGGAGAAAGGTGTACTTCACTCTAAAAATGGGATGTAGGTACTAAACTTATTTAATCATCACAAAATCACTCTGTTTGGTTTTTGTTTCCAGAATTCACTTTTCAGAAAATTCTACTTTTTTATTTTCCGTATTTTTTTGTTTTCACTGAATTTTTAAAAAATTTTAAGCAATTTTTTTTTAAATTTTTAGACACACCTAACATAAATACACTTAAAAAGTATAATATTTGTGAAAAAAATCTTTATAAAATTCACCAAATACTTGAGGAAAAAAAAAAAACAAAAATTTAATACATTTTTCATATTTTTGTGTATTTATTAATTTTTTAAAATATTTTTCCACAAATATTTTTCTTTTTAGATATATTCAAGTAAAGTGCATCTAAAAAAGTCAAAAAAAAAAGTCAAAATTTTAAAAATATTCACTAAAAACAAAAAAAACACGAAACACGAAAAACAAAAAACAAAAAACAAAAAACAAAAAACTTAATTTTCAGAAAATTGAAACTAAGAACACTTAATAGAATTTTTTGTATGTTACGACGAGTAAAGGAATATGAAAATAATACAAGTAAATAGTAATCTAAATAAAAGGAAAAACACACTTTACCCCTATGGTATGGCCGTAGAGCACCTCCCTCCCATTTAAAAATAACCAAAGACTTCTCGTGTGATTTTGGACTAAGGTACTACCCTAATTCGACTAAGGTGCTACCCTAATTCCATTAACCTTAGCTATAAAATGGCATTTAAACTCATTTTGTCTTCTCCTTTGCAAAAGAAAGGATTTGGAGGGCTACCCACGAAACAAAAATTAATAAAGTTCAAAGGGGTTAAAACCAAAAAACCAAAAAACCAAAACCAAAACCAAAACCAAAACCAAACCCAAACCAAGCCTTAAGTCTTAAGTCTTATCAAATAAGGTCGGCTACATAAATCCTTCTTCTCTACTTGACTCTATCAAAAACCATTTGGTTAGTCAAATTAAGGAGATTCATATCTCTATTTACTACACTAGCCCACGTCAATCTAGGTCTACTCCTTTCCCTAATACTTCCCTCTACTGTCACGGTATTGCATCTCTTTATTGTTGCCTCTGTCGGTCTCCGTAAAGGGGTTACTAATGCAAAAAATAATAAAGTTGGCCTACTTTTTAACTTAGTTTCAAATTTAACCACATACTAAGTTATACAGATTAATCACATAAAGTCCGTTCTTTCTGAAAAAGTAAAAAATGCCCATCATTCACTCCTAGATTGATTATCATCTTATCTTAACTAGTTTCTTACATACAAAAAGCCTATCATCCCCTCACTAATACCCCTCCAAATGTGCACACGTACAAGACCTTGAGACCCTAGCAATAATCATCTCAAATTAGTGAAATGTAGAACCACCGAGACACAATGCAAATTCATGAAGTTGTTGCGTATGTTATTTTTAGAGAATACTAGATTAGGGAATGATTAGGATATCATCCCCTATTTATATTAATGAATTTAATAATTACAAGGGAGCCCTCAGGCACAGAATAATTACAAAATAAGAACCCAAATAACAATATATTATTCTAACACTCTCTCTCAAGCTGGTGCGAAGATATCTCTCATGCCCAGCTTGCCTAAGATGTCATGAAATGGCTTATTCTCAACTTCCTTGGTAAGGATTTCAGCAAGTTGTTCACCAAACTACACAAAGGGAGTACATATTGTGCCACTAGTGAGTTTCTCCTTAATAAAGTGGCGATCAATCTTAACATGCTTTGTCCTATCATGTTGAACCGGATTGTGAACGATGTTGATAGCGGCCTTATTATCACAGTATAACCGCATGGAATCCGTCTGATCAATACCTAGATCATTCAACAATAACTTGATCCATAAGAGCCCACACATCCCTTGTGCCATAGCTCTAAACTCAACTTCTGCACTTGGCCTGGCAACTACATTCTGTTTCTTATTCCTCCAAGTAACTAAGTTGCCTCCAACAAAGGTGCAATACCCTAAAATCGATCTCCTATCAGTCACTGATCCAGCCCAGTCAGCATCTGTATATGCTTCCACACGAAGATGATCATACTTTGAAAAATAAAGGCCCTTACCAGGAGTAGACTTCAAGTACCTCAAAATCCTCATAACAGCCTCAAAGTGAATCTGATGAGAAACATGCATAAATTGGCTAACCACACTAACAGCAATAGCAATATCAAGACGGGGGTGAGATAGGTAAATGAGCTTAACCACTAATTGCTGATAGCTCTCCCTGTCAACAGCTACTCCTCCTTCGTCATCCCTTAGTTTCTGATTGAGTTCCAGTGAAGTGTCATAGGTCTTGCAGCCAAGCATCCTAGTTTCCTTCAACAAATCAAGCACATATTTCCTCTGTGAGATAAATATCCCATCCTTGGAGCGAGCAACTTCAATTTTCAGAAAATACTTCAAGCTCCCCGAGTCTTTGATTTTAAACTCACTAGCTAAATATTTCTTCAACATAGGAATTTCATCACTATCATCGCCCGTAAGAACTATATCATCTACATAAACAATGAGTGCTGTAATCTTACCAAGTGAGGAATGTTTCACAAACAAGGTGTGATCTGCCTAACTCTGTTTGAAGCCATATTTAAGCATAGCCTGAGTGAATTTCTCAAACCAAGCCCTTGGAGATTGTTTAAGACCATATAATAACTTCCGAAGCCTGCATACTTTGACTTCGGTCTGATGATCCTCAAAACCAGGAAGAATGTCCATATATACCTCTTCTTCGAGGTCACCATAGAGAAAGGCGTTCTTTACATCAAACTGATGAAGTGGCCAATCTAGATTAGCAGCTAGAGAGAAAAGTACCCTGACTGAATTCATCTTAGCTACAGGTGCAAAGGTTTCCTGATAGTCAACGCCAAATGTCTGAGTGAACCCTTTGGCCATAAATCTCGCCTTGTAACGCTCAATAGAACCATCCACTTTGTGTTTCACAGTATACACCCATTTGCATCCCACAGGTCGTTTGCCCTTAGGTAACTCGGTCAATTCCCAAGTGCCATTCTTCCTAAGTGCTTTCATTCCATCAATCATGACACGTTTCCACTCAGAGGTAGCAAGAGCATCCTGAAAATGGTTAGAAATGCTAACAGAGGAAATATTTGACACAAACACTCTATACGAGGACGACAAATGAGAGTAAGGCACAAAATTTGAGATAGGATGTTGAGTATAAGATCTCACACCCTTCTTTTTGGCAATAGGAACATCAAGATCAATGGACTAAAGAGATTCAAAGTTACCTGAACTCTTATCAGAAGCAGGAGATAGCAATGGAAGAGCAGAAATGGTCTCTTGTATCCAGGTAACTTTCTGTCTGTCTTTGTCCTGGACATAAACTTGTCCTTCCCTATCCTTGGTGACATTAGGTTCTGTAGTCCCAGTAAGAGGTAGTGGTGCAAGAATAAATGGTTCCACCATAGGAATCACAGGAATCACTTCACACCAAGGCTCTCCCTGAAGGGAGGACTGGGACACCGGAGAGAACAAGAAATAGGACTAGGATTCAAAGAAAATGACATCCATGGACACAAACCACTTACGAGGAGGGTGATAACACTTGTACCCTTTTTGAATAGGAGAGTACCCAAGGAAAACACATTTGAGGGAATAAGGGTCCAACTTACCATGAGTAAGAGAGTGATTATGGACAAAACAGATAGAGCCAACTATTTTGGGAGGAATAGAAAATAAGGACGAGGAATCGAAGAGAACTTGAAGAGGAGCTTGTTTTTGCAAGACCTGAGTAAGAAGACAATTAATAAGATAGGCAGCAGTGAGAACAGCGTCGCCCCTGTAGGATCGAGGCACACACATAGAAAAACACATGCACCAAGCCATGTCAAGAAGGTGGCGATTCTTGCGTTCTACCACCCCATTTTGTTGAGGGATATTGGTGCAAAAGGTTTGATGGATAATGTCATGAGTAGAAATGTTAAAATCAACCCACTACACCACCACCACCTCCACTTCACCTACTCCACTAAACCTAACCCACTACACCACTACCACCTCCACTTCACCTACTCCACCTACCACCTACTACCACCTACTCTTCTATATATAGGAATCATTGTAACAATCAATATATCAATCAATAATACATAAATTCTTACATGGTATCAGAGCAAGGTTAAGAAGCTAGTAATTCTGCTTCACCGGCGGGCGGCAGCCTCGCCTTGGCCGCCCGCCGGACCTCTACACATGCCTTCCCTCTCTCTCTGCAAGTTCAACCAACCTCCATGGCTCTTCTAGCTCGAAACTCACATTGAATGGCCCTAGTCGCATCACAGAGATCAGCAACAATCCCCACAAGATAACTACTTTGATTCAATCTCTAACCCACAAAACTTCCAGACTTGAGATCCGGAGAATACATATGTTTAATCGTATCATCAATCAATACATATGCTTAATCGCATCATCAATCGCACTTGTCTCCTCAACGCTCACCACAGATCCAAGATCTTCCAAAAACAACCTTCTCGTCGTCTGCCGCCGCAGCTCTCTCGGATCGATCTTCGCCGCCGACGATCCCATCGCCTTCTGCGACGCCGTGAAGAGACAGTTCCCGTCGGCCTCCACGTCGCCCCCGTGACTCAGCCGGAACACAACCGACGAGGACTCATCCCCTGGGTGCTTCCACAGGACTCCCTTAGCGTGGAGCCTCCGTAGATGGCTCTCTTCTTCTCCTCCGGCTGTGGCTGTTCCATCGCCGGCTCCGAGCAAGAAGAAGACTAAGAAGAAGCCCAATAGGAGCCGTTGCTATATGTTTTTCCTTCATCATCAAGCTCGAGACGCGGCAGCTGCCTTAAGAACGGGTTCATGTCATCCATTTCTCTCTGATAATCTATTGGTCTTAAATCAGAGTCACAATAATCAGTCTGGAGAAAAGGGTCATCAAGATACACCTCTCTCTCTCTCTCTCTTTTTTTTTTT